AAGTCTTCCATCACTTTTCAGGAAGTTTCTAATGGCCTTAGCATAAATCTTAGCCTGATTTAAATATGTTTCCATCTCAAACATTTCTGCGGATAAATACATCTGGATGAGATGCCCTGCACTGTCTTAGACGTCGCAGAGAGAAGGGAGACTCGGCTGTGCTTGTGCTCGTGCATACACTCTTGGCCGTGTCCATGGCTGTAGGGAAAACCAGTCCTCATCAAACATGTTGTGGCTTGTTGCCTCACCTGAAGAGGAAAGAGCACTCCAGAAATAAGTGGTGGGATGGGGTCAGGAGAGGGTCTTTGTGGCCCCATCTTCCACACCTGTGGGTTTAACTTATCGAAGGTACATCAGTTCTCTGGATGTATGAGGAGGATGTATAGTCAAGTGGAAAGAAAAATGTCCTTCTTTGCCTTTTTTGTAGGTCATGCAGTTGCTGAAGAGGAGGCCAGAAAAGCCCACCAGCTCTGGCTCTCGGTGGAGGCGTTGAAGTACAGCATGAAGACAGCGTCTGCAGATCAGCCCACTGTTCCGCTGGGCAGTGCAGTCGAGGCCATCAGAACCACCTGTGCCGATAGTGAATTTGCCCAAGCTTTAACTGCAGCTATCCCTCCAGAGTCCCTGACCCGTGGGGTATACAGTGAAGAGACCCTTAGAGTCCGTTTCTATGTAGTCCAGAAACTGGCCCGAAGGGTAGCGATGATCGATGAAACCAGAAATAGCTTATACCAATACTTCCTCTCCTACTTGCAGTCCCTGCTCCTATTCCCGCCTCAGCAACTGAAGCCACCAGTGGAGCTCTGCCCTGAGGATATGAACACATTTAAGTTACTATCATATGCCTCCTATTGCATTGAGCATGGTGATCTGGAGCTGGCAGCAAAGTTTGTCAATCAGCTGAAAGGAGAGTCCAGACGAGTGGCACAGGACTGGCTGAAGGAAGCCCGGATGACTCTAGAAACTAAACAGATAGTGGAGATCCTGACAGCATATGCCAGCGCTGTAGGAATAGGAACCACTCAAGTGCAGCAAGAGTAAGGCCTAGGAAGAGTTTTGTAACATCCTAGTTCATGTCAGAGGAAATCCGTAATAGCTACATGAAGGGTTTGCAGCAGGGTGTCAGAATTGTCTAGAAAGGAGCAGGTTACCAATGCTGTTCTAAATGTTAACACCTGTTGCATTTATATTATTTCCACTTGCTATCATGTCATTGAACTCCAGGAAGTACTTCCTTTGCAACTTGTGTAACATTTTCCGTTTTTCAGGTTTTACTGATCAGGCTTGTGAGCCAATCAAAATAATACCTGTGATCCCTATTACTATTGATTTTGCCCTTGCAGCAAACGGAATAAAACAAAAAGATGAAAACTGAGTAGCTTATCCCTTTTCAAAACAGTTCCGTTTCCAGCTTGTGTGTGTAGAAAATCTCCTTGCGAAGCAGCAGCAGCACAAGTAGGCAGTCCTGGGCACTCTGTTTCCAGGCTGTGAACTGGGTCCCAGAAGTCCGAGAGCGCTCTTGGCTTTGGAGCGTGTGATGAACTGATTCCTGCTGGTCAAACTCAAGAGTGATGTGCAAGCTAAAATGCCAAATATATTTACGGTTGGAGTTATATCATTCAAGTGATTCAAAAGCACTAGAAATAGTATGTATCTCAAATGTTTTTTTTTTCCCAAATGTTTTTCATTGCAGCTACCACAGGAAAAAATTATTTCATTTTGGGACTGAACACACACACACCCCCACCACTGATTCCCCTGTGAACCTCTTCTTTGAAGTGTGGGCATGCTGAGCCTAGAGCCTTAAAGGGACTGAGTAATTTCGTGGTATTTATGAACTAACTGCCATAAAACCGAGAGAACTCTTAACTTAGTTTATGTCTCTGAAGACTAGGACAATTGCCATATTGTGTAAATGTTAACATTCATTTATTTTTTACTCCATGAAAATACTGTCAATTTTTCCCCAAAACTGTAACTTCCTGTTGGGGGTTTGTGTTCACAGAGATTGTTGAGGCAGTTTTTCTTAACGTCAGATCTGCCCATATGAAAAAAGGGAGGGGGTTCTATATTACATTCCCGAAAGGATTACAGCTCCTGAATTTGGATTGTTACATTCAAGTCTGCATCACACTTGACCTTGTCCTTTCACTTGGGGGTCCATTGGTCCATTTTGGCCTAGTTTGATTTTAATATTCCTTACATTCCTCCTGAGTGGATTATTTTATTTAATGTTCTTGAAGACATTTTTATTTTTTATTTTCTTTAGAGAAAAACTGGTTGAAGAGAGAAAATATTGATGTGCCAGGTAAACACTGATCTGTTCTCTCTTGTATGCCCCCAACTTGGGACCTGGCCCGTAACCCAGGCATTTGTCCCCACCCGGAATTGAACCAGTGACCTTTCGGTACCAAGCACTCAAAGAGTGATGAGGCATTTTCTCTTGCGGTGCAGCATCGTGACTCACTGAAGTTCTAGCAAGTGCTGAATCCCATGCAAGCACCGAGTGCTGAAACCTTTTTCCTTGTCAAGATGTGATGAGTACAAGGTTTGACGAGTACCAAGGTTGACTGTTCGCTGATTGGAACACAAGCTTTGGGTGACGTCCTTAATTTCTACAGGTAGAGGCACTCTTGGCACCTATGAGCTGTTAAGTTTTTACTAGAAGATAATGAAGTTTTTCTAAATTAAACTTTTTTTTTTATGCCTTTGGAACGGAAACTGCAAAGCTACTTGCCTATTTATTAGAAGTGTTTGTAATTTCTGTCTTTCTTGTAAAATACATACCATATAACTTCCTGAGATGTTACTTAACCCTGCGAGTGAAGAGGCCTTTACTTGGGCCTGAAGAGCCTTTACCTGGGTTCTCAGTTCCACTTGGAGGAGGCGTGACCCTGGACAGCAGGGACAGGGAGCTTCACTCCAGCAAGCGCTGAGTTACACCTCTGCCACCGACCTGAAGCCAAATCATCCTTTCTGCCTTGCTTGCATTGTGTTGTCTCAGACTATATTTTAGTCTTAAACTCGGTACCTTATTGCCTCCCTCCTGAGTGCTATAGAACATTTTAAACTCATGCCTCCAAATTTAACATTAAAACTCTGATCTTTGCTTTAATGTTCTTTAAAGCCAACGGTTACAAATTAAAATGTAATTTTAGTCTTTTTTAAAGGCACACTACTTATATATTCCTTAGTATTATGAACTCAGACCCTCTGCTCTTAACAGATTCTGGGTAAAAGCAGTTTCCAAGTCCCAAACGGGTTGTCCAATCAGTTTTCAGTTTGTTTGAACTCAGTGCAAAACAACTGATAATTTGACATAAAAGAGAAATAGAAAGGATTAAATATCAACCAAATCACTCTTCACTGGGCCCAGTGGTCACCATTGCTCCAATCCAAGGCTAAGCTTCCCTGGTTTCCTTCCCATTGATGCATTTAAGGTTCCCTGAGGTCAGCGGCGGAACACGAGAAAGCAAAGGTGGTGAAGGAAGGAGTATCACCAGGCCACTCTGCCCTTTCCCACGTGGGACAGTGATGTGGTTTCACTGGCTTGTTAGTTCGAGTGAGCTGTACAGATACTGTCCTGGGGTCTTCAGGTACAGGAAGGCATTCTGGGGGGATTAATTGTAAGGCAAAAGCCAATGGAGGTGCCATTACTGTGGGAACAGGCCACCGGTATCAGTGGCAAAGCTTAGGTTTCCCGTCAGTAAATTCCATCATGACCTTTACTCCTCTTGGACATTCTGTTTCCAAGAGTAAATCTTGCTGAGTTGTGTGAACTTTTATTGGGCTTTATCTCTAGCAGTCCTGATTCCTCTACAGAGGTCACAGCTCCACAGGTCTGAACAGCATTCTGTTAGGTTCCTTCACTGCCCACTTTGTGTCCCTTACATGTTGCCATCCTATGTCCTAGAGTGGGGTTTGAAATATCTGTAGCTGTTAAAAACAGCTGCGTATCACCCACTTGGAAGTCCACGACAAACCCACAGGACACCAGTTCAGATGGATGCCCCATCAGCTCCAAAGCCATCCAGTGAAGATTCAGCTAGGGCTCAGCCACGGGAGGAGGACCCTCCTCAGTGAGTACTGGGCCAGGAAGAGACATTTGCAGGTGCCAAGGAAAGAAGAGGAAAGGGGCTGAGTTTAGAGGCTTCCAGGTGGCAGTAGCTTCTCCTTGGAAGTTGTAAACCAAGATCGAAAGGCTAATCTACCCAATGTCCTTTTGCTCATTTGCTGATATGTTCATGGACTAATGAAACACATGAACACATTAAGCAGCTAACTTCTGTAACCCCTACCCTCTTGTCCCTCAATTAGAAGTCTTAAACTGACATTCTAGGAGAAAATAATGAGTGCTCAGGTTTCTAAAGTCATGTGAATGGTTCCCAGCTTAGTGAGGACGGTAAATGGAGATGGGAACAGACACCAATACAGTAGCCCAAAAATAATCCTGGAGGGTAATGATGAAGGTGCCGTTCTGCCGAGAGCTCCTGGGGCGCTCAGTAAATCTGGGAATCACAGGAGCAAAGCAGCCTGTGGTAAGGAACCCCTTGTGAAGGGAAGGATGCTGCTGCAGAACTCACAAGCTCATGTCACCTTTCAGTACCATCTGAAAGCCATGATGGTAAGAGACAAGCAGAGCTTCTTGACCAACCTGATGACTAGGAATACACAATCACGTCAAGACATTTCAATCCTGTCAGCACGAGTGCTCACTCGGACACTGAGTGTAATACAAGACGGGAGAGCATGGGGAGAGGAAACACTTTTGCGCAAGCCCCAAGTCCGGTGGGAAGACTCCGGCAAAGGCTCTACGAAGATGATCGGGCCCTGGCTGGTGTGGCGTGGTTGGCACTGCCCAACAAACCGAAAGGCTGCGGGTTCAGTGCCCATTCAGGGCGTGTGCAGGAGGCAACCTGTTGATGTTCTCTCTCGAGTCACTATTTCTCTCCCATCCTGTCTCTGGAATCAATTAAAAAAAATCAATGGAAATGCATATATGCCATTAATTCCAATATTTATTTACAGCCTTCATTTTCCCAGCTGTGCAGCCTTAACTCCCACCATTGTCATTTTGTCCTAAGATGTACAATTTTTCCCCACATAAATATCTGTGAAATTGGGATACCACTGACCCCAAATCAATATTGTGACATAATTGTAGGCAAACCTCCTTTAGACACCTTCTTTAAAATATGTAGGTGCCAATGTCATAGCATCAGCCAAACAAAAACTCAAGTTCAGAACGGGAGGGCGAACCACGCCGATGACGGCAGTGTGACGTCAGCGGGCACACACCGCAGGTGTGCAGAGCTTATGCCGAAACCAGGACCCGTGCATCTGCAGAACTGAGAACGGGGCTGCTCTGCATGAATGGTAAACCTGGAGTGGACGGTTCAGTAGGCATCGGATATGGAATTTAACCTTAAAATAAGCCAGTGCTGTATCAACTATTTCAAAGTTCACCAAACCTGTATTCTTGCTTAATTCATATCACAGTTAAATAGTAACATCTCATGCTAGGCCACAGCTGCTCCTGATTGGCCCATTTCATTTGCCTTCACTGATGTCACCATCGCTGTCACTGCTGCTGTCACTATCACTGTCAGAGGCCAGTGCAGTTAGGTGTTCCAGCGCTTCCCTGTAAAGGAAAATAAGACAGGAGAATTACACTGAGATTCGGTCTTACTGGGGGTGGGACCCTGCAGGTTCAGTACGTTAACAAAGGAAAGCTTCTAACAGCCAAACCTATAGGCCTCCCTGATTTATGTAACAAATGAGGTAACTGTTGAATCGATACATCCTTTTTGCAAAGAAAGGAAATTCAGGGGGTAGAAAGCTATACACATTTGAATGAGGACATTCAAATTTGACCATTCAAATGGTCTGCTCCATTTCTATAACTTTTTTTCATGGTGACCGTACAGTAGCCACTTACTTCTGTTCCTGGCTGATCACAAAGTCCGTCATAACCCTCCGGGTGAGGCCCTCACAAACAGGCAAGCTGAAGGCACTTGCCAGCTTCACTATCTCAATGGCCTGGGCAGGGCTGTTGGATGCTTTTGCACTGTCCATAAACTCATTCAGCAACTCGTTTCTGTAAAAGAAAGGCAAAACGTCAACATTCCCCTACTAAACCCCAGCCAAGTTTGCATGCAAAATCTAGCATTTTTGAAAGTTGTCATAAAATCAACTGTAGCTTTGGAGGCAAAGTTGCACAAAGTCTTAAACCTTAAAAGGACTAAGAGAAAATAAACACCAGTTTACTGTTCCTTTACCGAGAGTCTATTCAATGTAACCCCCGTGTTGTGATCAATGAACACAGATAATAAATCAATGTTTGCCTCAGCTGCCCTATTAGGGTGTCCAACCATTTGGTGTCTCTGGGCCACACTGGAAGAAGAGTTGCCTTGGCCCACACATTAAACACACGGTAACATGGAATCCAGAAAAGTCCCATAATATTTTAAGTGAATTTATGATTTTGTGTTGGGCTGCGTCCACAGCCATCCTGAGCTGCACGACGCCCACAGGCCCCAGGCTGGACACCCCTGCTGGGCGGTGGGTGTGATGGTCCATCTGCCTGCCTGTCAGACCAGGTGCCGTGGCTGAGGCATGTGAACAAATTCCAATCGCCCCACGGTCAGAGTTAAGCCCATGCAGCTAATTCCAAGATGTACCCAGACAGGCCCATTAACTTCAACTTACCTAGGGATCTTATTATGCTTCCTGAAGAGCCCCAACATCTTCCTGTTCAGGATGAGAAAGGAGAAGGTTGTGAACACTAACAGAACTGAAGGCAGTGCACCTGTTCTCCTGCACTCCGCTCAGCTGTCCTCCCTACTGACAGTGGAAGCTCCAGAAGACGCACAGCCCTGTCTTTACAGCACAACCACCTCAGGCAACTCATCTCCCTGTTTCCTCCTTCATCTGTGCTCCGTTCAACCTGATTCTGATTTGCTGCCGGTGAGAACTGCAGGGGCAGATCCTCCTCCAGAGGGTCACTCCGGTCCTCCCAGGCAGGGCTGTCCTGTGGGCAGCCGGAGGACAGGGATGCAACAGAGCACGTATGGCTCTTCCCTCTCCTACCATCAATGTGAGGTCAGTGTGTCCTAAAACTATGTGACGAAGAGCAGGCTCAGATTAAGGCATCAGTCTCATGCGTGTGCTCGCCACCATCCTGCCACATGCAGGACAAAGGAGAAACACACACATTCAGCTCCCATGACTCAGCTGAGGTCCGTACCCCTGCGCCAATCATCACAGCCTGATTCACAGCAAGTGTGTCTCCGCCTGCCTGAAGTGACACATTTGAGTGAGCATCAGATGTTTCTGATCCGAGCAGCAGAGCAGGTCCTGTGTGTGACTCACATTCCGGAGACCAGTTCCTGGAGACAGTGAACAGCCGCCGCTCTGGACTGACAACTGCACATTCAAACTCAGTTCCTTTCGTGCGCTGAAGAAGCCACGTACAAGGGCGCCCCCCTCACTGACTCTCAGAACTAAACACAGCGGAACCACCCAATCGGGATGGTTCTACAATGTTTTCTTTGCTAACTCCTCTGCTTTTGGAAAAATGAGTAGGCAGTCTCCATTCACAAACACTACAAGTAGAGTGGCACAAAGCAAAGACAGGTTCTACTCAAGGCCATATTTAGTATGTTCTGGTAAATGCCAGCTTCTTGAAATCCAAGCACACAGTCCACATTTTAAGCTTGGTGGTAAGAGAACACCCACAGTAAAATACTTAAGAAACCAAATGCCCATAAACACTTTCAAAAATAAAATTCTTTGATCACTTTATCTGAGTGGACAGACAAGTGCTTACTTGCCCAGATATAGAAAACAAAAAGGTCATTGATGGAGAGAAAGTAGCCCACTGAGCCATGTTCTCTTAAATCACGTATAATATGGTCTTCTTCCACAAGTTTTCTTTTTAAGTTCCCACAGAAAACGCATTTGTCTCCTGATAAACTATACACCACACAGCCCCACCTGAGAAACTCTGCAGACCAGGTTAAATGTTCTCTGAAATCCAAGCAAATGCTTCTAACTTACACGTGTGACATTACACTCACCAGGCTTCCTGGGTTCTGCCGGCCCGTAGGAAGAGGACAGCTATGCAGTTCAGAGAGCTGGCTGGCCAGTCAGGGGCGGTCTGCCTGGCGTCTTGACTCTCGTAAGTAGACTTGATATCTGCAGCGCAGTCAGCAAACGCCACCTGAAGCTGAGAGGCTGTTGGAGTCAGCAGAACTGCTAACTGGTTTTATGGGAACTTAAGTTTGAGAGACTACACAGGACCAGCAAAGTTTTTTGAGCAATGCATTTTACCATTTGAACACATCACGTATGTTATAGCACACATATAGCAATACAGTAAATATAATATAGTAAAAAATAAGGCATCCTGCCCTGGGGAAACCCTGGGTTTTTTTTAGGCAGATATTTTTAATGCAAGCTGTTACAGTCAGGACAAAAACATGCTATTCTCATGTTGCTTGCTTCAGACTACAGGAGTGAGAGTGACTTTAGACAAGGTATTCTGCTAATGGTTGGGTTAGATCTGGGTTTAGATGGCAAAATTCTGCACAATGACAGATGAAAGCAGGAAAGTTATCCCCACAGGGCCCTCACTAGTAGCAGATACACTTAAAAAAATTATTTATTTATTTATCTTTCCAGGGGAAAGGAAGGAGAGAGGGAAACATCAATGTATGGTTGCCTCTAGTGCGTCCCCTACTGGTAACTGGCCTGTAGGGAACTGGCCTGCAACCCAGGCATGTGCCCTGACTGGGAATTGAACCGCGATCCTCTGGTTTGCAGACCTGCACTCAATCCACTGAGCTACACCAACCAGGGCGCAGATATACTTTTTCAAAAAAGATTTTATTTATTTATCTTTAGAGAGAAGGGAAGGGAGGGAGAGAGATATTGGTATGTGCCAACCGACTGGCTGTCTCTTGTACACCCACAACTGGTTGGGGACCTGGCCCACAACCCAGCATGTGCCCCAACTGGGAATTGGACTGGCGACCTTTCTGTTCTCAGGCCAGTACTCAGTCCACTGAGCCACACCAGCCGGGGTGAGGATACACCCTTCAGTACACATCTAACAAAGGTAATGAAACTCGAGTGTCAATACAACCCTACCTCTGGTGGGTGCTGATCCCTCGCCATGAGCATCAGAATTTCTTTCTTCAGGTCATTGCGAAAAGTGTGACCATATTCTTTACTATCTTGAAACAAAAAAGGAATGTAGTGAGAAGTGATCGCCAGGATGTAAAACTCTGGCTGACCTTCATCTCCTGTCAGCCGTCACCCATACTTTTCAGTGAGTGAAAACAAGTCATTGGCATCACCCATTCAAGGTTTATTTCAGGGTTCCTGAAAACCACCAGGATGCTTCATGGTAAGTTAGTAAGAGCAGTGAGAGCCAATGCTGCTCTCAGTCAGGTGCAAACATAGCACACACACTGCACTTGAGCTACCGCCAGCTCTGAATGGTAGGATCCTGTTCTACAGCATTTGTGAGTCCTGACCTTTTATACACATTAGTGCAGTCTTGTGAAGAACTAGTAGGGCAGGGCTACAGTCTGTGTCTCAGACATGGGGCCCTAAGGCAGACAGAAACTGACTTTCTGATGTCACCTAGGGGAAAAGATACAGCATCTTCTGCAGCCCATTTACACACATACGTAAACCCCCAGTCAGGCCTGCTTCTCAGAAACGTAAGTATCACTCACTGGTCAGCAACTGAACCACGCTGATGAAACACGGTAGAGAGGAACAGGCTTTGGGGTCTGAGACCTGAATTTCTACTTAGGGCATGCCACACCAATTAGCACTGATTCTAATCTTCCCTTTGTCACATCCCACAACAGGAGCACAAAGCCTACCCTTTTCCTGTTACTAAGGAACAAGGCCATTTTAAATACATTTTCACTCACGTAACTTAATATGCAACACAAGCAAGTGATCTTGAAGTAGACCTCAACTAATACACTCAGTGTAGTCAAAAGTGGAGGTTTTCATCCCTAACAATGTCAAAATGTTTGTTAATCAAAATGCAGGACAATGAAGTGACATAGGCCGGGACTGATGAGCTGAAACCGACCTTTCCAAATTTGAGGAATCACTTCTAGCCTGTTGGCCACATCCAGTGCTCGGAGAAGATCTATCAGTACTTGGGAATGAGGAAGGAAGACCTGATTAAGAGAAATACAAGCATATTTTTAAAATATGACTTGGCAAAAACATCAAAAAAGACATGTATAATGATACATGACAACGAATCATCTTACGGAAGGTATGAGGTCCTTATACCATTTCAAGGTGACATCAATTTGTTCCATCAGACAGAGCAAATTGAAGAACTTGGAACTACAATGAAGGGGGAAAGTATGTTTAGTCTAATAGTTTACCAATTACAAACAATTTCAAGTTACATGGGGCCATGCTTAACCCAGCAGATGCTAACTGTTTTCTGGACTTCCCAATTAACACGTTCTTATTCTCAACCGGTCATTTGTGACCGCCTCCTCAGTACACTCTTGTCTCGTGGTGAGCGGACAGTAAATACCACATTCATTTTAAAGCATTCGATGTGAAGAAAGCATGTGGGCACACGGAAGACAACCACCACACACCTCAACCTCACTCAAGCTCTTGTTTTCATCTGCCTAAAAGCAAACCCATTTAATAAGTCTCAGGGTGCTCCACTATCTCCATCCTTAAGAACGAAAGGAATTGTGATAAAATCTTAATGGACCCTTGCTCCTATAAATTAAAAATTGTAAAATAGGAGGGCATACAGGAAAAAGATATGTGGATTTAATGTGTTATGAAGAAACTCAGCCTGGGCAATCAGTCCTGCCACTGCTCACATTTCCCAGTGCTCCACTAACTCCACTGCTCAGCCGGGGCGTGGCCTATAATCAGGTGAAAGGGAGGGCCGCCAGCAGCCTTCCACCTGCAGAATCGACTAATGGCGGCCTAAGAGTGCTGCATCAGTGACAAAGGATACGCTTCCGACACTTACTAATAGAAGTTACGCCGATGACTGGGTCCAATGAATTTCCAGTTGTCGCCAGTGTTTAAAAGGCCATGTACTTGGTAAGCAAGTTCTAGATCTTTGAGAGACGAGCACTGAAAATCTGTTAGTAAGCATCACTCTTACAAGATCCTTAACAGGACAGTGGCTCATTACATCACAAAAACGTATAGTTACTTGTGGGAACATTGATGCTAATTTAACATACTGCTGGCTGATGACAAATGAGTTACAAGAAATGGGGGGGAAAAGCCCCAAAAGCAAACCCTCATGTTCTGTGAAATTTAAAGCAAAATGACTTTGCTCCAGTGATTATTATAACTTAGAAATCCCACAGAACACTTGGTCATGTGCACAGAGATAAAGGGGGTGCCCCCCCCAGCATCAGCGTACAAGCAAGAAAGCCTGTGAAATGACTTCGAAACCCACCCACAGGAGAAGTGTGCAGCAAACCACAGTCCTTCCCTCCCCTGAAGTCCTGCACTTCGGGCAACAAACGCAGCACCGCGGAAGCATGTCTGTGCGTGTTTACCACCCAGGGGTGGTAAACGCCTGAAAGGACACAGGCTAAACCAGAAGGCAGTTATCTGTAGAAATAGGACATGCTGATTCATTCTGAAGCTGCTTGAAATTTTTCCTATATTAGCATGGTAAAATGAAAACCAAAACTAAAAACCAATACCATCAATTTTAAAAGCTACCGAGAGACAAATATGAAATACTCTAAAACCTTATCTGGACACAAAGGTATGAAAAAAGGCTGAAGACAATGAATCCAGTAGAGAGAGGGAAGGGACGTATGTGATTTAGTACAGATTCTGGAGAAAGAAGAAAAGAGCAACTGACACCAACAGGAGAGTAAATGTAAGAATCAGGTGGAGGCCCCACCCCTTGCTCCCAACTACAGAGAAATTTAGGAAATGAATGAAAGGAAAACAGCAGTTAAATAACAAATGGTACTTACAACTCTCATGGCTGACTGAAAAAACATATCTGAAAATGAAAATTCACAAGAGCTTTGGTTACTCTAGACAAAATTTTCTATTTTCATGTCAGTAACATTAATAAAATCCCTGGCAATAATACTAGTAACATATAAGATAAACCTAAACAAACAAAACCTGAAGCAGAGAGGAAGTATACAGCAAAGTGCTACAAGCACTTTGGCTTTCTCAGAATGATCACCCAAAAGATTACTAAGCTAAAGTAAACCCTGTCCCCGTAATAAGGCCTCTGATGACAGACAGGAAAACAAGTTCTCTGTACATACCATCATCTGGGTCCTGTGGGGAAAACTTCTTTCCCATTAGTTCATTCATGATGTCATAGATCACAAGGGACGATCCTTTTGAAGGGCTTTCTGCAGAACAAGCAATGATTATGAGTCCACTCCCAGTGGAGACTTTTCCCTTCCTCCTTAGTCCTTCACGGCTCAACACTGATTGAAGTAGCCTTGAATGGTGTAACTCAGTGGACTGAGCGCAGGCTGCGGGCCACATCCCCAGTAGGGGGCGCATGAGAGGCAACCACACACTGATTTCTGTCTCCTTTCCCCTCTCTCTAAAGGTAAATAAATAAAGATCTTGGGGAAAAAACAAAACACTGATTCAAGTAGAGAGGACACAAACAGACACCCTCACCAAGTGTACACGCTTAGAAAAACCAACAGTTTTTGCTAGTGATCATTTTGTGTTCCTTTTAAGAATAAACAGGATGAGCTGCCCAAAGAAAATGTACAATTAATGGACATGGGCAGCCCTTTAAAATCACATGAACTGAGTATTAATGGGTCAGAAAATGTACCAACAATACAGGTGTAACATTCTCACACTCTGCTCATTCCACCACCTGCCTTACCTGAGCCACGTGCGCGTGACAACAGTTTTTTAATGACAACACAGATGTATTTTTTCAAGCATGTTTCCATTTGCTAGCAATCTTAAGTGTTTTATGCATTGTGTGACAATATATTTTATATGCATTATTTTCCCAGTATTTTAGGCTTTCTCCTTTGGGTAAATTCCTAGAAATGGTTACTGTAGGCAGCCAATTTACAAACATAAGACAAATTGGGGGGAAATAAAGAGACCGACACTCCTCCCTTCACTCTGCCTCCACGGTCACAGGCATTGCTTAGGAAGGGTAAGTACCGCCGACCCTGGTCAGCAAGTGACCCAATGCCATACATCATAGCACAGAGGAGCGCAGAGGCTCGGGGTCAGTTCTACCACAACGTTGCCAAGGCTGAGTAAAATTTGAAAAGATATGATCATATGGAAACCACCTGTTCCCAAGATCAAGTCACCCACCTGCTCCAACCACCCTAAAAGATATCAAACTTCCTTATAGGTGAAAATGCACATTTTGTAAAATTAGCCCTCCAAAATAGAGACAATCAAGTTCTTCTGTTGTTTTTATATATAAAGTCTGGTGTAGGGAGAAGGACCAGAACTGTCATTTCTGAACCAGTGGGCTCTTTCTCAAGTTGGGGCAAATCAGTTAAGAACCAGCAGACACAGTGCTACTACGTGCTTCCCAAGCATGGGACAAGACCCTGTGCATGATTCATTTAATTGCCACACCTAACAGTGTAACTCAGGCAAGGCATCCAGTCCATTCTGACAGAGCTGGTAAATGGCAGAGGTGACATTTCACCTCGGGTGTGCCTTGCTCTCAAGTCCATTCAACAGAGCACAGCTCCCAGCAGGGAGAAAGCAGGTGACAAATGTAGCCTCAAGACTCTCACACAAGACTTCAAAACAAGATCAAGGCTACTGTGGGATACCACTGTCCAACAACTTCCTGCAAAGACGAGAATGTTCCATTCTGTACTACTGAGCAAACCAGCCAGCTGCTGCATATGGCTACCGAGCACCAACACAACAATGAAACTTTAAATTTTATTTAAATAGCCACATGTGGTAGTGGGTGGCTATTGCACTGGAGAGCAAAAGAAACTCCCAATTGAAGTACCTTCTGATCAGTTCTTTCTTTTTAAAAAATTTATTCGTATTAAAGAGAGGGAGGGAAAGAGCATTGGGGAGAGAGAGAGAGACAAAGAGAAAAACATCAGTTAGTTGTTCCACTGATCTGTGAATTTGCTGGTCGACTCTTGTATCTGCCAGGTGCTGGCATGGAACCCACAACTGTGGCGTGTCGGGATGCCTGAGACACGTGGCCAAGCTGGTTATTTCTGACTGTACACCAACACTGTGAGTACATTTAATGACCCCCTGCCCCTCCTGCTCAGTTTTACACCACAAAGTTACAACTTTCAAGAGTAAATTTCTGCTCAAACTGTAGGTTAATATGTAAATTTTTTCTTAATTCATACTCATAAAGGATGCTGGGTCAATTTTCTACATAAATTAAAGAACATAATGTCATACATACCATGTTGATAAAACAGCTGAATAATATAGTGATATGTTGCAAGTGAGGGTTCTCAAATTACCAGGTACATAGAAAAAAATAAAAATAAGTCAAACACAGCTATCTAAAACATAGCTTACCAGGGCACAATGAACTAAAAACATATTTATGTTGATATTTAAATGAAATATGATGCATTTCTACTATTTCTTTAAACAAAGACATTTCCCAACTCATTTGATTAAAGGAAAGGCAGGAAGCCCAGACACCTATCACTAAAATGATGTATCGAATGTACGTGTGTTATGACCCTCATTTAAGACACTAAAGCACACCAACGGGAACTGATTCCCCAAACAACCTTTGATAACATTACCACTGAAAAATGTATAACCCGTTAGCACACACTTAGGTTCAAATACCTAATTATGCCAGAAAATGTCATGGGATTTAAAACTAGCTAACTCTTAAGTGAATAATTCTCCCCCAAATCGAGATCCATAAAAAAGTACCTAAAATACTAGAAGAATGTTCCAGTTTACTATAAAGATTGTGAAGGTAATAAAGGCATTCCTAATGCATAATTCTACATGTGCCAAGTGGAACGGAAATTCCCAATATATTACGTAAACAAGGAAAAAGAATTTAGTTTCTTTTTGGCTTGTCTAGGCCTGAAACTTCCGGTCAGCACTGTTTTGGTCTTAAGCAAGGGGCACTAGGAGGCATCTTTACCTATTCCGAGGGCTTTCATTTCACGTAAGGTCTGCAAGGCTGGCAATCTTCCAAATGCATAAAACCTTCGCAGGCATTTCAGAATGGTATTAAAAGTCTGTAGATTTGGTTGCACCTTCTGCACAGCCATTTGTTTCAGCAGCTCCTAGTGAAATTTAGAACAGGAAGTATTTTTTAAGCCTGGGGACAGTTTGTCCAGTGAACAAATATACTAAAAAAGAATTTGGTTGTCGGGCTGCATCTAAAACAGGTGAACATATCCCTAATTTAAGAACTAACTCTCAGTAGGACCAGTGACTCTGCCTTTTGGAGAAGCCCTCCACTCAGCTGCCCGGCCTCTACCTGATCAAGGTGTCTGTCTTCAACCTTCTGCCTAGTGAGTCTGAGACTCAAGCAGGTGAGCAGACTAAAATGGACTGTGCATTTTTCCTTTTTTAAGTGAGTTGTATGGTATAAAACATGTTTGTGTTTCTCAGTTACTTCAATCCAGCAATGTCTTTATTAAACTTTCCAGATAATAATTTTTCAGTAAGTGTGCATTAGTTTTGTAATGAAAAACCTATTACGAGAAGTAAATGCATAAAGCAGCCAGGTCTTTCCGAGTTCCAGGTGTCTGCTCTGGGCCGAGCAGCTTTCTTCTCACCCACCAGATGGCGCTACTTAGATCACAGGCTGTGGGAAGGGCGCACCCAGGCAGCCACTGTGTGAGAGACCCCAGCGCAGTGACTGCCCAGAGAAGTTCAGAGGATGTTATCTCTGTGCCATGTGTTTCTAGCAAAACATATTTTAGGCCTATTAAAAAACAAAGCAAACGTTCCTTCTTACCAACATATTATTCCATTTTTCCTCATATTTCTCATTCATCATTGCCGTTGCCTCAATCAGTGAATTGAAGGTGTGTACATCGGCTGTAAAAAGAAAAGAACCACTTTAACAAAATCGGGGATTGAAGATCAACCCCAAATGACTCAATTTAAGGCAAAGTGACCAGGCACATGTGACTCCAAGCTCATTACGACGTGTCCACAAAAGTAGACACCACTCTTCTTTTGTGTCTCTGCTCCTGTTTCAGTCATCAATACACAGAAAAAGACAAAAAGGGAGGCAATGATGGAGGCAAGATCCAAAGATTCTACAGATTCCTGAGTGGAGAAAAGAGAGTTCACCAAACACTTACCATGAAGCCTGTTGTTTAATAACTCGGTGTACAAGTTTAATGCCTGCACAGGAGCTCGGTGCTAGAAGGGGTGACAAACAAAAATAAAACATCATCAAATGCGTTCCTTTAACACAAATACCTGCATGGCTCCTGTCCTAAGGTTTGGGAACACAATGGTAAACAGTGCGCACACATTCTAGCTCTCATGAAACTCGTGCTCTGGAGTGATGGTTGTTCAGAAGGGGCCATCTGCTTCCAGGTGACATTTGGGTGGTGCCTGCAGACATTTGCAGTTGTCACAGGTGAGGGGCAGGGGGAGAATGTACCCCTGGCATGCAGAGGGCGGAGGCCAGGGAGCTACTAAAGACCCTATGAAAATACGACAGAAGAGTTCTGAGATTAAGAAACCCTGACTTAGTGGAGATTAAAGACAAAACTACATAAGCAAAGCAAATGTTACCTTCACCATTCCTCGGATCATGGTGCAGTAGGAATGTGCATTTTTCTCTGGCATCAGAGCAAAGATTCTCTCAGCATTGTTTTTTGCTCTAGACACAGGAGAGTAAGATGAACGAAGGGAGAAAGGAAAAGCAAACAATTCATTGAGAGTTTACAAATTTCTGGGCACTGTGCTAAGTACTTTACCCATATAATTTCAAACAATTCTTACCACCCAGAGAGGGAGATAAAGTTAGCACCATTTCAAAAATGAGAAGAACTGAGGCTCAAAGACCTTAAATTGTCCAAGGCTTGGCAGTTAAATGGCAGAACCAGGACTGAAAAGGGACTACAAAATGCAGTCACGTGCTGCATGAGGACGTTCTGGCATCAGCAAACGCATATACGACAGTGTAGCACAAGCACTGCTCCCAGGCTCACAGTGAGGCTGGAGGGCGCTGCCCATGGCACCGCAGCGAGCACAGCACACACAGAACAGCAGTGCGCCGCGCCACCCGGGTTCCCAGGGGAGCATGCACTCCATGATGCTCGCACAGGGAGGCAATCGCCTAGCAATGTCTTTCTCTGAATGTGTCCCTGCTGCCAAGTGGCACCCAATTAATTGTACACTCAGGGTGTTACACAAAAAGCAGCCCGTATGACACTGTCCACCATTTCCCCGTCCTCCTCCACCAGACATAGCTCCCCAGAGGCAACCAAACAAGCAGCTTGTCCTAAATCTTCATCCCTATTATCACATGTGTACATGTCATATTCTACCTAGTGCATCTACTCTTTCTTAAAAAAATATAAAATACAGGTACTGTGTTATACAAATCAGGCTATATTTCAATTCTCCCTCATACCTGTGACTTAGAAATTAAGAGAACCAAGGGTCATCAGTTCAATTCCCAATCAGGGCACATGCCTGGGTTGTCAGCCAGGTCCCCAGTAGGGGCCACATGAGCAGCAACCACACACTGATGTTTCTCTCCCACTCTCTCCCCCCTTCCCCTCTCTAGAAACAAACAAACAAACAAATAAATAAATAAGAACCAGGTTTTGAGCCAGGACAGTATTCCAAAGTCCATACTCTTAACCACTCTGTGAAATTATTAAATCTACTTAAGAAGTTTAATCTGTGATTCTATTCAATTTATCACTTCACAAGAGACTTTAGATATTAAAGATAGCTTTCCTTCTCAAGACATCCACATAAAATACCTTTCTTTTATGTAGACAGTTCTATTTGGTCAATTTAAATGTTCAAATGTTAGTTAAATGTTATCCACCATTTGCTTGGAGGTGCTGAACTACATTCTAGTATATGTGTATTCTTATGTACACAAAAATATCGAATCTTTCAAAATTAGGTCTATGTTGCAAGGGAGAACTACTGATGAACTATTAAAAGAAACAATCTGTACTTGGAGTTAAGTGGCAGGGGGTGGGGGAAGGGAATCAAGTGTGAATGTTGTGCTGTTGGTTATAAGTAAAGATCTTATGGAAAAAAAAATCCAAAGGCATATGAATACCAACTGGGACAAGTACTGTACCCTAAAATCAAATTATATTTTAGAACATTAAAGGATCATTATCTTCTTGGGGAGGGGGGTGATGGCGAGGGGAACATTCTACACACTGGAGAAAACTAGAACATGGAATTCTAATTATGAGCAACATACCTCCAAGTAGCTCCAAGCTGCTGACCAGCCTTCTTCTTAGATTTCTTAGGATCTTCCTCTGAGGCCTCTTCCTGAAATGGAACCACCACCAACAGAAATAAAACAAAAGATGACAACAAACTTCATTCTCCTGATTAGACTACTCAAAATCAGGACTACAAAGGAAACTTCAGATAAACAAAAGAAATACAGACCCAGCAGAAGGTAGAGAGGAAACCCAGTGAATGTTTATTAAGAATGTTCATTTCCTAGGTATAAGTCAGCTCATTTACAGATGAAAAGTAACGTTAGCCCTTAAAGCATCTGTGCCCGGTGTGCAGCCCAGACGGAGAAATGGGAAATCCAAACAACACGGCCTGTTTCCTGAGGGGCTGCACCCGGCTGGATCCACACAGAAATACTGTTCATTAGTAATTAGGGTGCAGGCAAGGGAAAACTATGTACCAGGGTATAGAACATAGTCAATCTCTAACGCTAACCCAACACAGCTAAAAAAAAATTTTAAGACTACATTTTATATTATATTCTAAACAAAGATCTGGAGTGAGGCTGATGTAAAGCAAGACGGGCTCGGGTAGAGCTGCCCAGCTCAGCGCTGACTGTAGCTGGGGCTGGAAGCGCACAGGGCCGGCCAGGCCAGCGAGTCTAGCAGACACTCTGGAAGCCAAGGTGTGACTGCAACCCGCTGCATTTGCACTTTAAAAATAATCCACATTTAGTGGAGAAAAATGGAAAAGACAAACTGCCATCACCCAGAAATGCTTAATTTTGATATGATTTTTCCTTATGCATATGAAATTTTTTAAGAAAAATGGAATACATATTGTCTAGCCTATTCTCCCACTTAGCAATTATTTTTCCATATGCAAACAGATCTATGCCAGTACTTTCATCAGCACGTGACACTAATATCACAATTCAACCACTCGCTATTGGACATGTCATTTGTTTCCAACGTTTTTGCAATTATAGGTATTACTATATCAAGAAAAATGTCATACAGTCATATCTTAGTACTCGTTGGCTCCAGAACTCATTAAACCCTGTACTTATCACATTTTGATGAGAAAAAAATGTTTTAGCACTCGGCGTCTGCTTGGGACTTGCTGCACTTGAGAACATGTTTGAGTCACGACGCCATCCCACAAAAGAAAACACTTCATTGTTTGGTACTCATCATGAGTTCCAGAACGAATTAACGACGAGTACCGGGGTACCACTGTATGCACATCTTTGTTCACATGAGCCAAAGGCTTCCTTGGGATCTTTTTCAGGAAGTCAAACACCTGGGCTGAGAGAGGCTACATATAACTCAGTCCCATCAGGCCAGCCTCTGGCACGTGCGCTGTATCCCCAGCAGAGTGGGCCCACTCCTGTACGAAGCTGTGAGGGGACTGTGGCCAGGTCCTTCCCTGTCTGCCACACATCATACCATCACTGTACTTAACAACATAGAAGTCTGCAAACATTTCTAGTCAAAACTTTGCCTGCCTGTGGTAGACACAAGGTCAAAGTATTTTTAAAGGAAGGGTTCAAATAACTGCTTAACCTCTCCCATCCTCTGCACCGCTTTTTAAAAAATCAAAATACTGTTGCACACATTTCAGAACAAACCTCTACTATACGAACACATAACATGAAAACCTGCCTTATTTGAGGTGTTACTACAGAAAAAAATTTTAAAATTATTGCCAAAACACATTACCAACTCTTCTGATTTTTCACTTTGTTGAAAATGATTATCAGCTGGGGGCTCTTGGTCACCAAAGTAACACAATAAATCCAAGAGACTATTTGTTGTTTCCAGAGATACAGTGGTTCCTGTTAGTGCACAAGAGAAAAAGGGAAACTTCGATCATCAAAGAACTAAAGCCCATTAGATTAAAATTCTTCACTTTTCCTATGAGCTCCGGCTTTCTGGGCCACATATTTAGTATTGCCCACCATACTGACAATAAACGCACTGCATGTCAATTTAAACACCTGGAATGGCACAGACGGGGACAATCCCTACTAACCACAGGGTCTGACTACAGATTAAGGTATAAGATGAAGTTTAACCCTGTGCTCACTTACTGAGGTACTCACATCCCCAGAGAAACTATCTCACGGTTTCTAACTACCATCTCCCAACTGACCACTCTCAATTATTGCCACTTGGTTCCCTGGCCCAGTCCCATTTTGCATCTTTATAAATGCAAAGAGAACTATTCCACTTGGACCCAGGCCTTCACTGAAATACTTGTCCAGAAACACTAGCATAAATGTCTAATTATAATAACCTCTTAAAAACTGTTGTTCAAAACATTATGCTCCCATCTTGACAATTAAGAGGGAAGTAAGGGAACATAAAGACTTATGAAATATACTGTTTAAAAAAACAACTACACTTTTCTGCCCTGACTGGTGTAGCTCAGTGGATTGAGCGCCAGCCTGTGGGTTGCCAGCTGGATTCCCAGTCAGGGCACATGCCTGGGTTGCGGGCCAAGTCCCCAGTAAGGGGTGTGTGAGAGACAACCACACACTGATGGTTTTTCCCTTTCTTTCTCCTTCCCCTGTCTCTAAAAAAATTAAAAAATAAACAATAAATAAAATCTTTATTAAAAAGTCTAATGATTTAAATAAATAAATAAATAAATAAATAAATAAATAAATAATTTTAAAAAAGGCGAGCAGGGGGAAGAGCCTCCCTAAATGATCCTCTGCACCAGCGATTCACGGGTACATCCAACACTGTAACAGGGTATATACCCAAATTCTAAGATCAAACATAGCTTTCTACAAGTGCTTCTTGTTGTAGTCAAGACTGTACCGAGCAATTCAATCTAGTTTCCATCTCTTCTGTTTGACTGATTTTTCTACTAATCACTAAATAGTACTCCAGACTCCATAAACTTAAAATAACATCCCCCCAAAGGTTCATCCATCCAGATCACAGGATTTCAGAGAGAAGCTCTAAGGAACTAGGTGACTTGTTTAAGACCACAGAGCTAATCGGTGCCAGAACCAGAACCTGTATTCAAGTCTCTGACCAACAGTTTACTGCTCTTTCCTTTTTTAGAAAATACTTCTTTCTTGTCTGTTGTATATCTTCCAAATGTACTTGAAAAGTACAGGAAATTTAAGTATAGTATGTATACCACTTAAGTTAAAAACAGAAGCTAACACCCTGGCCAGGTAGTTCAATTGTTGAGAGTACTGTCCTGATACCCCAAAGCCAAGGGTCCAATCCCTGGTCAGGGCCGTACAAGAAATGACCAAGGAATGCATAAGTGGAAAACAAATCGCTCTCTTTCTCTCTCTCTAAAAAAATCAAAATCAAACAAACAAGGAAAGCTAAGGGAGAATGGCTATATAAATTCTCTACCTGTGATACAAATGAACGATAAACTAACATAGTTGCAACTTTATAATTTTAAAGTGAAGCTAAAGCAGAACTTGAAATATTATTTATTAAACTACTAAAAATACAAACAGCCATCAAGCAGCGTAAGTACACTAACACTTGTAACTTTTACTCACAACTACTGGGATCTCATAACCAAGGCCTACCCCCAGCCCACCTGTTCCTAGGGGAGCTTTCAGTGAACTCAGTCACCTGCTTGCAGCAGCTGATCGAACATGTCCACTGATGCTTTGACTTTTTGGAGCTTGATCCGTTCCTTCAGGGCGGCTTCGCTTATGTCTTCAATTTGAGGTTCAAAGCACTCGGGCATTAAACACTAGGAAAACGAGTTGGCTGAGGTTACTACCAACAGGCAGCAATGGAAGGATAATGGAGTAGGATGAAATTTTTATCACCAACAAACCAAAATAAAATGTCACCATTCCAATTCACGTTTCATGTACCAAACACTACCACCACTTTAACAGGCTTGTCTTCAGAGAAAATACAACTTCTAAAAAACTATTAAAAAAAAAAAAAGCCTCTCCAGTCCCTGAAACATGACTATCCCTAGCTTGGGGAGAAAAATTTAAACCCACCCTAACATAAATATATAATCCATATCTGGAGAATTCTACTTCCAACTAAATTTCCCGACTGGAAGCTAAACTTATTACTCTTCTTTCCTGAAACTACCCTTTCTCCTTTCCTCCCCATCCTGGTTACAGACAGAGTGCACCCGGTTTCCAAAGGCAGACGCCTTTCAGCCTTGATGCTTTCCATCACTGTCAGCATTTATCATGAAGGTAGGCCAGCTTTACCTCTTTCAGTAACTGATTCAAACACTTGTGAACGCCTATTATGTTACACCAGCTACTGGGGATACACATGAAAGTCATTCTCTACCCTCAAGTTGCTCACATCTAATGGGGAAAGCAAATAAGGAAATAACTGTGACACACTGTGAAGGTAAACGACATAAGAGATCTCAGCCATGTGGGAATGCTGCCCGCCATGGAGGCAGAGGACCATGGAAGGCTTCAGACAAAAGAGAGCTAAGCACAGAAGAGTAACTGTCAGTCAAAAACATGAAGGGGAAAGGGTGGGCCAACAAATGATGCTTCCCTACCTGCCACTGTCTTAGTTTAGGATTTCAGTTGCCTCGGCTTCCTCGTTTGTCTCTAGGAGGGACTGCTTGAAAAGCAGGAGGGCTGTGACTGGGGATGTGTGTTCTGAGAAGTGCTTTCAGTCATAACGAGTGTGAACTTATATTTCTACTCAAAAACTCAGGAGGGCAGAGGCACACGTGTTTTGGTTACCACCATGATGACAACACTAAGCAGACAGACACTGCACACACGTTCACTCTTCATGGCTACAGAACAGAGGTAGGTGGAAATACAATTTGGAGTTCCACATGGAGGGATGTGGGCCAGATATACAAGAATGCCGAACGAAGTACAAGGGCTGAAGCAAAGAGTGCAGACAGTAGAAAAGAAAATGACTGAGCATGCACACCTAACAAAGGCACTGATGCCGAGGAGGGGATGGAGAAGCTGCTGAAGGAAACGGAAGGGAGGAGCCACACAGGGAGAGCTGCAGAAGTCAGGTGGCGCAGAGGCCGGACGGGGAACGGGAGGCGAGGAGCAACAACACGCAGAAGGAGCTTAAAAAAAAACGTTAGTATTATGAGTACATGTAACTCTACATGAAACAACTGGTTACCCAAATACTGAGGGCATTCAAATGGCTACTCAAATATTAGGCAAGAAAGCTTGGTCTAATTTACATGTACATACTATTATCTGGAAATTGCAATTACCCCTCCTTACCGGTATATGAGGTTCAGCTATGTCCTTCTGAAAATATTTGGGATGTAAATTAATAATAAACTTTGCCGCATTCTCCCCAGACTTCTTTGCCAATAAAAATGAACGCTGTATTAAGAAAAAAATTCAGATATAAGTTGGTATTTACATGTAATTTAGATTTAAGAGATCAAAGTCACATCCTTGGAAAGATTAGTTTCCCCCTTAAAAAGGAATGCAACAACCCTGGCCAGTGTAACTCAGTTGATTGGAGCATCATCCCATAAACTGAAAGGTTGTGGGTTTGATTCCCAGTCAGGGCACATGCCTAGGTTGTAGGTTCAGTCCCAGGTCGGGAAGCATACAGAGGCAACTGATCAGTGTTTCTCTTTCTCTCTCTCTTTTTAAAAAGATTTTATTTATTTATCTTTAGAGGGGAAGGAAAGGAGCAAGGGAGAGAAATATCAATGTATGGTTGCCTCTTGTGCATCCACTGGTGGGAACTGGCCTGCAACCCAGGCATGTGCCCTGACTGGGAATCGAACCGTGATCCTCTGTTTTGCAGGCCCGCCCTCAATCCACTGAGCTACACCAACCAGGGCACAATGTTCCTCTCTTGCATGGATGTTTCTCTCCCTCCTTTCCTCTCTCTAAAAATCAAAGAATATGTCCTCGGATGAGGAAGGGAAAAAAATGGAACGGAAAAACATCCACACCCCCAATCAGAAGTTAAATTACACAACATCTGCCACCTCTGCTGAGTGTGGCACATGTCCAGGTCACGTCCTGCACACGCACTGAGGACACAGAAACGACGCATTCAACCGAGCGGACTGCACCAGTGCCAAAGGGCCCTCAATGGTAAAAACCAAAACCAACCCTCCCCCGCCAATTAATCTCTAAAACTTTTTGATGAAACTAGTGAAGTATTCAAAAGTTTACCAATTTAGGTTTTATAACTAAGTTAAATTACACATGCAGTCTTGTACTCAAACCAACAAGATAAAACAATACAAAAGTAGTACAAAACAGTACGTAATAGTATAAAAATCACATCAAAGTACTCACTGATTCCACAGAGGATGTTGGTATGAGGTAAGGATCGTCCTGAAATGCGTAAGGGGCAGCTGTGGTATCCTGTAGAGAAGATGCAGAAACCTCTTTAGCTCAATTTTTACTAAGAGGATCTTGGGAGTTCCAAGGATGTCCAAAAAGTCTATAAATTTCAATTATGTATGTAATACACCATGCAGAAATATGTGTGTACATTTGTGTATATGTGTGTGGGTATAGGACATCTATCTATATAGAGAGACACACAATGCCTAATGTTCTCTCAGCTCTGTAAGACTTGATTATAATCATACATGACTTAAAGCAAACAACTGTTCAAACGCCCATGACTGGCTTAAGATCTCAGTCTGCTGTTAATAGGAACTACTGTTGGTTTAAACTTTATGAAAGATCCTCTGAATCAACTAGTCTGGGCACCTGTGTCCCTCAAAGCAAGGTCACTAAAAACCAGGCCTCAGGAGGTGGGAACAAGCAGCAGCTCCTGTGTCCTCCTGTCGTCTGTGTTCTGTACCTCCTTCCACTCTGGCACCACCAGAGGCTCGCTCAGAAATGCCCCCAAACTACTACTCTCCTCTCCCCCAGAGCACCCTTTCCTGGGCCTCATGGAACCTTTGTTCCTGAGAAAACTGTGTACCCTATAGCCCGAATCTCTTCTGACTGTCCCCTGATGCCTTGCCTTGCCCACATGGACTCTCTGAGGGCCGGGCTAGGAGGAGCGGGAGAGCTTCCCTGCAGCCCTCAATGGAAGACTGCTCATAGAAAGGTCTGCAGGCAATACTTCTGGAGGGCCTAGCTTCTTGCTTTCACTTTCAAAACCCACATTCCTTCATACTCCTCATAATGAGGCACAGTCATCAGGTTATGCTGCTCCACTACAACAAGGCAGGCCTGCAACAGCAAACCAGAGGCAGCAGTAGCTCTAGGCCAGCTGCCCTGGACCATTCCCTGATCACACTCAAACTGGTGCCTAGCTCTGGCCCTGATCGCTCCAGAAACTTATTAAAATACATGCTCAGGGTCTCTAGTTTTGGAGACATGCTCAATTTCTTTTTAACTTTCTAGACTTACTCTTCCTATTTGTCCCACAATTTTCCTCCCTCAATGACTTCCAAGTCCTTACTCATAGCTTCCAAGAAATCACCCCACTCTAGCTCTGTAGCTCAGATGCCTCAAACCAGATTTATCCCCAAACTGCACTTCCCTGACATAGTTCCCCTCACTGAAAGGTACTGGCCACTGCAGTGCAACCTAAGATCTCCTCCCAGTACTTCCATTCAACTAACCTGTCATCAGCCCAGCTGACTCTAGCTCCTTAATATCCCCTACCTGCTCCCAGGCCCCTCTCCCACTGCTGCTGCCTTAGTTCAGTGCCTTCCTTACTCATTCATTCGTTATTTATTGAATACCTCATATGTGCCAGGCATTACTCTACCAGAGATGATACAAATCTTACTCCTTCACAGAGCTTACAATCTAGTAGAAGGAAAAATCTCCAGAAAGCAAACAAAATAATATACACAGTATAATCAAAGTAGGTAACTGCTATGCAGGAACATGACATACATACAGGGATAAGGAAGTCTCAGAAAAGGACACATGCAATTTTAAGTGGGGTACTCAGGGGAGGCCTCACTGAAAAGGTAATAATCAAAGACCTCAAGAAATTGGAAAGCAAGTTACGTGATTATCCCAGGAAAAAAAATATTCCAGGCAGAAGAACAGCTGGTATTAAGGCCCTGAGGCAGAGGCACGCCTGCTGAGAAACTGAGAATTAGCCAGGAGGCTACTACGGTTAGAGCAGAGCCAGCGAGGAAGACAGGACTTGCAGTCGGAGACCACATGCTGGGGAGTCACTAGGAGCCCTCATCCGGACTTCAGTTTCCATCTCGATTTTGAGTTCTCTGCACAGTGCTGTGTGATCTACCATTTCAGCAGGCTCAGTATGGCTTTTTAACTGAGGACCGTCTGTAGGGGGCTGAGGAAGTGAAGGGGAGAAACAGAGACTGTATTAATTAATCCAGGGTATTAAGAGAAGACGGTGGCTTAGATGACCAAGGTGATCATGGTAGTAGCCAAGTGTCCAGGACCTGGGTGCTGTGCAGAACAGAATTATGAGGCCTGAGACTGTTGTTCTCAGAAAGCTCTATTTGCAAGGCCAGTCCTTGGCTGGCAGCCGGAGGACTGGTAAGAATGGGTCACTGTGCTTGAAGTGTTTGCAGTGCAGTTTATGCTGAACTTCTGTTTTCCTCCTGGGAGTCTGGCACATGGAATGTGCCGGGCAGAGAAGCCTAAAGGACCAAACTCCAAAACACTCCTGGAACTTGGTCCCTAGTTAGCTTTCCTGACAGACATTCCACACGCATCACCACAACTCTCTTGGAGCACATGGAACCGAGCAAACCTTGGGCTGACTCTGCAGGGAAAAGACTCTTGCAAGCTTGTACGTGGTGTCCTCTGGTCTTTATCCCAAGGGCCTTCTCTTTGCTGATGTTGCTGTGTCCTTTCACTGTGACAAAACACTGCTGTAGGACCGTGTTCTAGTTCCTCTCAGTCCTCTTAGCACTTCATCAAAGTACAAGTGTCTTGGGGACTCCACTCACATATACTTTGAAGGAATTCCGAAATGAAGGATTTACTAATGTGCAGACTGAGAGAGGAACCAAAGATGTCTCCCAGGAAGTTGGCTTGAGAGAACAGGCTCTCAAGGATGTAGAACAGTCTCTGTGAGGGTGGAGCTGCCATTAATGAGATGGCAAAGAAACGTGTGAGTGGTTCGGAGGGAAAGGGGTTTGGCTTTGGACATGTTAATTTTAAGATATTTACCATACATTCAAGTGGAAAGGTTTCTCATCTCTATATTGCTATCTTTTCTAAAATTTGTGTGATGCCTCACCACTCCTTAAAACTCAACGGTCTTGGATAAAAATCAGAAGTCCCTAGAACAGCGTTCGTGATTTTGCCTCATCATTCTACCACACCAATCCTTGATCCCTCCACACAGGCTCCTCGTTCTGTGCCTCTGCTCACGGTGCTGCCCCTGCCAGCAGTGCTTTCCCACTGCTGCACCCGTGCAGGCACCCATCCAATGACCGGCTCTTCTGGAAATCCTTCCCCATCCTGGTTATGTACACCCTGCTCAGTGCTGCTTCCACTCCCTCTCCAGAACCATGCAAGGACTGTGTCCCAATTCTACAGCCTCCAGCACAGTGCCTCATAAGCATCCTATAAGTAGAACACATGGTTATCGAATGAATAAATGACTGTCCCTTGGAGTTTAAGGATCCAAAGCCAGACAGTTGTAAACACCATTCTACAACTTCCGGGCCATTCTCATTGAAAAACTAAGAGTACTCTCAGCGGCACATTTCTCTAGCTCACATTTCAGGGGCTTATTTATGGATAAGTGAGTGCTTGAAAAGGTCAATGTTTTGCTACTACAGAGATGCAGTCTTTAAAACCCTTTCTCAGAAACTGCTAGGGTGTTTCAGTACATATTTGGCTCAACATCCTATTAGATTTAACATCAGCAATGGAAGAACAATTCTGGAAATCCGTGCTAACAACGTTAAGGAGGGTCAGTATCCACAGAGATATTGTGGAAAAAGAAAGGACTTAATTATTTGACATTTCTCCACAGCTGAAATTAAAAATATAGTTCCTAACTAATGAAAAACACAATCATAAAGCTCCACAAAGTGAGACCTTGCTAAGGTCTCACTTTCTCTATCAGACCTCTCACTTTCTCTATCAGAGAGCCAATCACTGACAGATGGAGCACTAAGAGAGTTGTCAGAATAAAATAGCTAGCAGCATTTACTGAGCGTTTCCTCGTGCTAGGTACTGTCCCAAACCCTTTGGTATGTACTAACTTATTTCCTACCAAAACTTTGAGATGTGGTGCTATAACTAATCCTCCTTTATAGATAAGGGAAAAGAAGGACCAAGAGATAAAGCAACTTTGAGACAAAGACCGAGAGCTCGTTGCTCTGGCTTCGGGACTGTGTCTGTGTCCTTAACCCCTTTATTATCTCTGGTACAGGCACTGCCGCTCAGCCAGCCAGCCGGTCCATGGATGCCTGCATCACAGCCCCAAACCGCCCCCCAGGGGCATGTGTTCCAACAAGCTCTTCAGAGGAGCAGGTTTAACAACCAGCTGGTATAACATAAAAACACTGAAGTTAGAGACAAAAGACATGGAACTAAGTTAAGGCTTTAACATCCTAACTAGCACTGAGTTAGAAAATTTAAAAGCTTTAGATTTCTCATTTGTCACATGAAGAGAGAGACTGGATTAGCTAATTTCTAAGAAACGTTATAGATCCACAACAGTTTAATTGTGAATAATCAAGAGGTATGAACATTAAATGTGTTATTAGCTCAGTTAGAGAGAACTAAAATTCCTACTTACCCTGTTTACTGTGGACGCGAGAGCCTGCAGAACGGCCACTTTGTCCCTGAGAACGAGAACCACAGGTTAACCCTCCCCGGGCCTTTTCACACGCACAAATGAACCAGTGATTCTGCTCGCAGCATGGACTGGCCAAGAACAAAGTTCAGGTCTCAACCAAAGCCAGTTCTTGTATCTCAAGGTCACTAAATAAGAGAAACCGTCTAGTTCTTTTGCCTAAAGGTGGTAAGTACACCTTCCTACTATGCTTTGCCTACTTGCTTACCTTCCCTAAAACCATCACCCTGGGCTAGGGATTTCTACCCTCATCTGCTACAACTGTGTCTGTCCTGAATCTTATTTCCACCTATCCATTTTCCTATGCATTTTCCTATAACTTTCTGAACTCTCTTGCCTTCATTATCTGAATTGGCAGCTCTCAATTCAGATGTGTATGGGAATAAATTACACGTCATACTCTAGACCTACTGAATGAGAACCTCCAAGTTCCACTGAGAACTGATACATTACCACTGAATTCCCAGATGATTCAGATACACCCTCCTGGTTTAGAACAAAGGCCTCAACTATATAACCTTTCTGTGACTGGTGTGGCTCCAGCAAAGTGAAAGGTCATGGGTTCAATTCCTAGTCAGGGCACATGCCTGGGTTGTGGGTTTGGTCCCAGGTTAAGGTACATACGGGGCGGCAGCAGCCGATTGATGTTTCTCTCTCACATCAATGTTTCTCTTCCCTCTCATTCTCCCTCCCTTCCCCTCTCTCTAAAAATAAATTAATTAGTTTAAAAAAATTTCAGGTCACCTGTCCATTATGCCTGTGGGTACAGACCTTTACTCAACTGCTGAAAAAAGAGGTTCATCAGAATAACTGACAGGTTAATTTGCTTACGAATATTTTGACTTTATGTGTTTCATTTCCATAAGGGAAATAAAGAGTAAATTTAATAAACCCACAAATTTTTTAAAACAAATTTAAATGTATATTAATGATAGAAATCATCTGCAAAAGACAAAAGAACATACAGGAAATTTTATATTACATCAAGGCCAAGTAATTCCCTAATGTATCATCCATGGGTTTTCTACTCATTTAAAAAAGTAGCATTTTTGTAATTTCAGCAATAGACAAAGACATTCTTTCCTCTTTGAGCATTCGCTAATAAAATCTGCACATTTCAATCTTACCAACTGAGCACATCTTCATAACATACTAAATAAATGTACTGAAAAAACTGTAACACTCATATTATACTAGTTCTCTTTTTTAAAGAGTTATTTTAAATAACAATCACAACACACACATTGTCCTTAAACAATAAATTAGAACATTACAGATTATGCTACAATGGTATTACCCTGTAACCCTTTCCTACTCCAATGTGAGTTTGGTGCCTGCATTTCCAGAACATTTTAAGGTACTTTTACATATACCTACCACCATAAAAAACATACAGTGTCATCCTGTATATGTGCCTTCTAAGTTTGACTGTATTATCCATATTACTACATGCAAATCTAATTAATTCCTTTAAATGTTACACTGCATAATAACCATTTTTATTATCCACTCATTCGTCAATGGGCACTTAGGCTGGCTCAACTTGTTACTATTCCCAAGTTACAGAGAACTGTCTCACCCATGTCTCTGGGTAGACTCAAATGTTCCTCTAGAATGTCTAACCAGTAAGGTACGCACATTTTAAACTGCGATTCTGCCAAATTTCTCTCCCAAGTATTGTTCCAATTGACTGGCCTATCAACACATTTACTTGAGCACCCTCTCCTTGCCAATCTGCTAAGTTTTAATATCCACTTCTTTTATGAGCCCAGTTACCTATGCATTGATCATAACTGGGCTCTCTGCTCACCCTAAAATAACTACATAATTCAGATTAACCTGTTCAGAACACCTTATAGTGTCACATTTACATATGAAAACTCACAATGACTCTCTACAATTTGTTAAGGTCTTCTATGGCACCCGAGTGATCCAGGAAATCGCAGCCTCACATTATGCTTCATTTCTAAAATATGGTGACAGCAACATGCAGTTTGTTTTTTTTTTAAAAGCTTATTGATTTTGAGAGGGGAAGGGAAGGAGAAAGAGGGGGAGAGAAACATCAATGTGTGGTTGCCTCTCATGCACCCCCTACTGGGGACCTGGCCTGCAACCCAGGCATGTGCCTGACTGGGAATCAAACTGGTGACCTTTTGGTTTGCAGGCCGGTGCTCAATCCACTGATCCACACCAGACATGGCTCTTTTTCTTTTCTTAAAAATAATTTTTCTTTTTTTAAAAAAGAATTTCTCATATGGTTGGGAGACCGAAGTATTATCTTTACAGTCTTCAATAAGATAAAATAAAACAAATGATGTGGACTACACAATTTAGCCTTTTTAACTCATTGGATAAATCCTTGAACAAAGTGCCCTATTTATTCAGTCTGTGTTGACTACTTAAGAACTAAAACTTCTTCACAAAAATTCTTATATTAATGATATTACTGAAAGCATTTAAAGGCCCCCTCAAAAAGCCAGATCTTCTTTGAGTATGATCTGAACACTAAAGTAAATTTAAAGAAAAAGCTTTCTTGGAGAAATGTCTGTTCAAGTCCTTTGCCCACTTTTTAATTGGGTTGCTTGTCTTCTTAGAGTGGAGTTGTGTAAGTTCCTTGTATATTTTGGAGATTAAGCCTTTGTCTGAGGTATCATTGGCACTTATGTTTTCCCATACACTTGGATCTCTTTTTATTTTAATACTGTTTTCTTTGGCCTTGCAAAAGCTTTCAATTTTGACGTGATCCCATTTGTTTATTCTTTTCTTTATGTCCCTTTGCTCTGGGGGACATATCAGTAAAAAAGTTGCTCCATGAAATATTTGAGATTTTCTTGCCAATGTTCTCCTCTAGGATTTTAATGGTGTCACGGCTTATAATTAAGTCTTTTATTCACCTTGAATTTATTTTGGTGTATGGTGTAAGTTGGTGCTCGAGTTTCAGTTTTTTGCACATAGCTGTCCAGTTCTCTCAACAAATAAATTTTAAAAAAGAATAAAAAATATATAAAGAAAAGGAAAAAGCTTTCTTAAATTACAAAACTATTCATCATTACTGCCAAAGGTGGCTGAGATAAATTGAATGAGCAAAAAATGAACTGAGTACTAGCAATAATCACACTACTTAGAGGCAAGCAATTTAATCTCTGTGCCATAGTAAAAGGTAGATAATGACAGTACTTATTTCAAAGGATTAAATAAGTATCTGATTAGTGCCTGCCATTGTTAGGGCTCAATAGGTGATAGCTATAAAAGTTCTGGGAAATGACATTTTTTATATAAGTTATGTATATTCATTTAGCTTAGTGGAATGGATTTGTTAGATGAACTGTTCTAGACTTATTTAGCTTTTAACTGCTACATAGTATTTTATTCTATCCGGGTTTATTCCTATCTTCAGTCCTTAGAATCAGAACCAATCTAAGAGTAGCAGTAAATATATTCATGAGTGAGTCATTTTCATGAATAGCATTCAAGTACAAAGCATTTTTATCAGCCTCTATTCCTGAGAAAAGTACTACAAGGAATACAAAAGGGGGAGCTTTTGGAAGATATGCTCAGATGGTTATGATCTAGTCTAGTCCTGAGCATATTTTATGCTTTGTACATTATATTACATGTGTATATGATTTACAATTAGAGGCAACACAGGATATGATATAAATCAAGAGTGGTTGTATTGCAATAGCCAAGGTGAGTTTTACTAAGGTAGAAATTTACCTGTACCTTAAAATGAGTAAGATTATTTTATAAGTATTAGAATCAATGCAAATTTTGTTTAAAATGCGTATTTTTCCAAGTAATTCTCATGAACCTTAGACTGTAAGACCCACAGAACACAGAGAACATGACCATCATGTGGTGGGAGGAGGCCAAGCAGGCAGACCTGTGAAAAATGCTTTGTTAGAATAGGGGAAGTAAGACAGTTGATACAAAACACTGGTTAGCAAACTAAGGCCATTTTTTTACAGCTCATAAGCAAGAATGGTTTTTACATTTTTTAATAGTTATTCAAGTTGCAATATCAATTAATATTTTTTTGGGAAGACAGCCTCACTCATTTGACTCAGTTGATAATACATTGTCTCTGGCTATTTTTATGGTACACTGGCAGAACTAAATTGTTGCAGCAGAGTCCCTGTAGCCCATGAAGCCTAAAATATTTACTCTGTCCCTATGGGAAAACAAAGTGTCTGATAAGAGATTTTCTGATAGAGAGCCTCTGAATTCCAGGATCATAAATTTATGCTCTTAACCTTGGAAGAAGCTGTTAAAACTACATGTTAGACCTGGCTGGTGTGGCTCAGTGGACTGAGTGCTGGCCTAGGAACCAAAGGGTCGCTGGTTGAATTCCCAGTCAGGGTACATGCCTAGGTTGTGGGCCAGGTCCCCTGCTGAGGGCATGTGAGAGGCCACTGATGGATGTATCTCTCCCGCATCAGTGTTTCTCTCCCTTTCTTTTCCCCTCCCTCCCTAAAAGTAGATAAATAAAGTCTTCCAAAAAAAGCAATTGTACTCATGAGTAATCACTATTATATAAATATTACCCCAAACTCAGTATAGCAAGTCTTTCAACTCCTAGGTAAATCTAATTCCTCATTCTCTCACTACTTTCTATTTTCCTCTTTTATGTTCTTTTAAACTCCCAGTTTTTCCTCTCCAACTGTTTCCTCCACAAGAATGCACTCCACTGCTCTCCATGTCACTGAATCCTCATCTAACAATGTTTTGCTCATAAGCACTCAGCCACCTGATGAATAAACAACAACCAAATACTCACCAAGTTTTCCGTTTTGGAATGACTACTTCAATTCCTTAATGTGAAAAATAAAACAAAGTGAATCAATTTCCCAATATTACTACTAAAAAGAAGTACAATGTATTAATACAAAACTGAATTATTCCAACATATTTCTATATACCTGTTACATCAGCTCCTTCACCCTTTGGGAGGGCTGCACTTCCAGAATAAAGTCTGCCAAAAACAAAAGTCCTGAAGTAAATACTCAATGGGGCTCCCACTTCACCTCCACCAATGTGCACTTTGAGCTCAAATATTTCCAATATCTATGGATCAAAATGAAGAGCTAATTCATGCTAATGCACACTGAGAAGACATGGCCTCAACACCAAGTTCCAAACCATTACAAAATAGATATAAGATATGGGCACGATGTGTTCCATTTTTTTTCTTTTTAGCCAAGCAATCTCATTAAGTAAAATCAGGAAAAAAAAAAGAGAAAATTTATTAACATGTAAACAAATGAACAGCTGATTTAAAATATAAGGGACTTTCAACACTGGGAATCTAAAACAGTAAAGTTAAAAGAAACAATTTGATGAACTAATTTTATATGGATAATGCCCTAATAATAAATAATAAAAATCTACCCACTTAAAGCAATTGTGGCCAATTAAGATTACCACAGCCTTTCTATCCACTTTCTTCAACAATCAGGAAAGTACCAAATAGCAGTATCCAACTTAAACTTGGAACTGCTATTTTTAAAATCCAAAACAAAGAATCACTGACCCATGATTGAGTTTTAAGATTTTCTGACCACACTTAAAAAGTCACTATATCACACAGATAACGTGCACTATTACCTTGTGTATTGCCTTCGTAAATGGCATTGGTATCATTCAGAAAACTATCAAGATTTTTTTTTAAACAATACCTCTCTGCCAGGGATCAACTTTCAAATCATGCTGTTCTTATGATATTAGGACACACAGATCACAGTCGTCTTTTGACAACGATTGAACTCTCTGAGATGTCCTAAATTAAATTAAGCGGGTCGGAGACTGAAAGGGGTGGCGCTCATCAACTACCTTCATTTTGGAAAAGTCTTAATAAGAGTTCTCCCCGTCCCTCCTGATTGGGTGAAAATGAAAGCAAATAGTCTTTTTACAAAACTGGAATTGCTAACAGCCACACTAACTTCAACGCTAGCTCCCCGAGAGGATCCTATCTGATCGACAGTTCTAATTCCTGGGTAGGCCAGCCAACCAACAAATATCCTCCTAATAAATGCGTTTCGATCTCTTTGCAAGAACGCGCACACTGGTGTCCAGGAGCACGCGGCTACGACGGGGCGCACGCGCAGTACACTACACGGCGCTCGTCCCACAGCTGTCAAGGGAAAAACGGGATACACAGGACTAGGTTGACACCTGGGTCTTCCTCGTCGGTTCCCTGAGCTTCTCTCACCTGCAACTACGGGCATGTCCAGGTGGACCTAGCCGCCGACTCGTCAGAGGTAGGGGAAGCCTGCAGCGGACCCTCAGGCAGCGAATTGAGGTGCCTGCCGCCATCTTTAGCTCTTCGCAAGGTACGTTGGGAAAGCAGGCCTTCCACTTGCTGGCTCACCAATGCCAGGGACGAGGAGAGGTGGGCGGGAATAGCTCGGCTATTGGCTGAGACGGAACAAGGCGAAAGCAATCATAAAATAGGTTACAAACTCATGGTTTGACTTCACGAAAGTTAAGCGCTCAATACGTCTCCATTGCCTCAAATAAATTTTCTAAAACGATCATTTTAATACCGCATATCTTCAACTGTTTTCACAATAAGAGGGCTAGTGAGAGTCGTGAAATTATCTCCACCACCCCCCCGAGGAAATGATCTCATCCACGTAAATTTCATCCCAGCGAGCATTTCGCGCGCGCAAGCGCAGTTTAAATCACGTGGAGCTTGAGTGCTTCTGGCTATGTAGAGGATTTAGTGGTAGTGTTTGGAACTTCTCTTTGGGTGTTAGAACTCGAAGCTGACCTGGAGGATGTTGGGCTCGAAAAACATGCCCTGGCGGCGGCTGCAGGGCATTTCTTTTGGCATGTATTCGGCCGAAGAGCTCAAGTAAGTAGATGGTGCGAATCGTGCGGGACTTGCCTCCTTGGTTAGGCGCCCCTATAAACTACTATTCCCGAAAGGTTTTGCGCCCAGTCTGTCCTCGAGTCCTTGGCTTTCGGGCGCGTGGCCTGCTGGGACCGGTAGTTCCAGGAACGTCCAGCTGGCGTACACTACCTAGAACCTGGTGGGGCAGCGAAAAGTTTAGGGAGGGGGATGTTCAGATTGCAGTGTTACACTCCCCCAGTCTTTTCATTAATTAACCAGCGTATGTGAAGTTATTGTAGTGTTTCTGATATGGTTAGTTAAGCATATAATTAGTCTCTTGTCTGTAAAATAATGGTCCTTCACGACTCAGGTCAGGCTACAGCTTCTCATTGTTAGGAACCCCTAAATTTCCCGCCTAGTTACTAACTTGAGGAGACTCTAGTCCTCATTTTGATCATCTTAGCATTTGACAGTCTTGACCACACCCTTGAAACTTTTCTCTCTCCCAGAATCTGATTGTCTTCAGGTTCTTCTGTTTCTGTGACAAGTTCTTCCTTACTCGATCAGTTTATCAACCGACTAATGTTTATTGATCTTTCAGTTTTTGTCGGGCAGTATGCTATGTGTTGATGACACATTGGTGAATAGGGTCATTGCATTCATGATTTGGATTCGAATATGTTTCAATCTCCTTAGCTGATTCCGCTTTTCTTTAAATGTTGGTGTTCCTTGAGCTTTTGTTCTGGATGCACGGTCTTTCTTGTCTTAAATGTCATCCTTTTGGTCTCATGACAGTTTCACCACTTTCATAATTGATGTTCTCAAATTTAAGTCTCCAGCCAAAATTTCTTTTTCTGATTTCCAGACTCATTTATTCAGCTGTTTTCTGGATATCTCAATTTGAATGTAACACAGAGACCTTAAACTCATATGCCAAAAGCCCCTCCAAAAGGGTGCCTAGTCTAGTGCAAAATGGTCACTAGTATTTTGTGACTGGAAGATAATTCTAGACCTGTCTTTCCTGACCGGCTAATTTATTTGTTGGGCTCTTACTGTAAGTCACCTACATAACTTTGTTCTGTACCCCCACTTTCATCACTACTGCTACTACTTTTGACCCCACCCTTATCTCTTGTTTAAAATATTTTCTTTCTATCTTACACCTGTCCAATTCATCCTTCATATGGTTGTCAAAACTATTCTTCTAAAGTGTAAATGTGACCATGGTACTTAAAATATGATCATGTCTCCCTGAAATCCATCCAGAGGCTCTACCTTTTGCTTGTGGAAAGGATTCTTTATTAGCTCAGCCTACAGGTTTGTCATTATCAGGCCTGTGCAGATTTTAGCTGTAACATTATCCATCCGTTAGCCCTAGGCATACTAAATCACTTGCACATTCCAAAATCTTCCATCAGTTTCCAACATCTGAACCTCTTGATAGACTATTTTCTCAGCATGCAGTGCCCTGTATTTCCATCTGTCTCTTTTCTCTACCCTCAGCAGACATAGGAAGAGCATCTCTGCTACTCTTGAGGTTTGGCTCAACCTCATTTTGAGGTCTTTCCACACTAGTACAGTTGTTTATTATGATGCTTCATTCACTTTTTGTGCTGTTCATATTTCCCTCTCTCTCTACTATCCTTGAGCTCCCTGTGTGTCTCATTCTTCCTTTTACCCTCAACTCTGGTTGAGTAAATGGATAAATAAGCTCCTGAGCAGCAACTCTGATAACATTGGGACCAGTATGCTAGCCCAGAAATTGTCCTTACATCATCACCAGCCATTGGTACAATTTCATCCAAAAGCAAAAGTGTTTTAGGTTACCTGAATTTAAAAAAAAATTGTGGAGCTTTCAAACAAGAAACTGCATAAGCAAATTTATATCCATTATGAACATTGTACACCTATGTGTGTTTAGGGTTGAAAAATGTCAGTAAGTATGACATCTTTTATTGCGCTACTTTCTAATAGCTTTCCATCTTGCTTGGAGTAAAAGCCAAGACCTTGAAATGTCCTGGAAGGCCATTCTGGCTTCTGTTACTTCTCTGAACTTACCTCTATTCCTGCCATCCTGGCTTCCATGCTGTTCCCAGAGCACCATAGACAGACATCCACCCCAGGACCTTTCCATCCCCTACTGCTTTCTGTTTTAAAGCCCTCTGCCCAGGTGACTGCATGACTTACTCCCTCATCTCCTTCAGGCCTTGACTCAAGTATAGTACATCCTTCTTAGTATGGGCTTCCCTGACTACTGGCCCATTCTATCATCCTTCCCCTTTCCTGCTTTACTCTTTTCCACTTTCTGCCATTTTACAGACTGTCTACTTATTTTGGCTTTTGTCTGCCTTTCTCCAATTGAATGTAAGGTCCCTGACTACAGAGACCCTTGTCTGTTTTTCCAGCAAAAGTGTGTCTGGCACTTAGTAAGCCTTCAGTAGATACACTTGTCAGGCGCACACATGAGTGAATGACAGAGCCATCTATTCAGCACTTGGCTGAATTTATAAACCTTCACATATGAAAAAAAGAAAAAAGGTAAGTTATAAACTGAGGAAAATATTCGCCACCTTCGCCACCGTGTTAGTAAAAGATTAGTGTCTTCATGTGGAAGGAGCTCGTGTAAAACAATTTAATAAATTAAGATTTTTTATTTAAAAAATAAGTAAATGACTGAAACAGCCTTAAAAATAATACCTTAATTAAAAATTAATTAAGATGACAATTGGGTAACATTCCCCCCCCCTTAAATTGGGGAAGATTTTTAGGTACAGAGATTCGGTGCAGGCCTCCTGTAGGGCAGTGCGCTGTCACCCACCTTTTGTGGAGTGCAAGCTTTGCACCCTTCTTTGCTTCACGTTTTCCATTTCACTGAAGAAATGCTTATGTTTTTAGGAAATAAAAGGTTGAATTATTCCTATGCAAAAATCTTTGCATAGATAGGTATTATAAGCTTACTTATAATAGAGTTTGGGTAAATGAATTATATTAATTGCCTTATAATGAAAGATTTTGCCACTCTTAAGAATTATGTTCCCAAAGAATTTTTAATGATGTAAAACACTCATTTAATATTAAATGACAGTGGACACAAACAATGTTAAACTACCAAAGGATCCCAGTTAACACTTTTTTAAAATGTACCCACAGAAAAAAAAAAGCCCATGAATGTTGTCTAGGTTGTGAGCTTCGGATGATTTCTTTGTCTGTACCTTTATTTTCTAAATTGGAAAAAAAAACAATGTGAAAAAGTAAGCTTTGGCATGAGTGTAATTTTGGTAAAAGTAGTTAGGCATCCTCTGGGTGCCTTCTTTAAACCAAACATAAAATACTGTGATGAAATCTTTAATAAAGCAGGTTATAGTTCTCAAAGGTTTGCATGTTTGTGTTTACTGTGCCTCAGTTTACTGTACAGGGATTATTGACTCACCTTCCCTTTACTGAACTTGTGAGCTTTAGATTTTGCCTGGCCCTTACCCTCCTGTTCCCTTACCTCCACCCCCCCCCCCATGTTGGCCGTCACCTGGCTTAGATCACCAAGCTGCCCAGAGCCCATTTGTTTCCTCCTCTGGGAAATGCATGTAGTGATGCCTGTCTCAGAGGGTTAAGATCAAGACCAAGCGCTGCTTGCAAAGCATTTGATATTTTTAATTGTTTTCAGAGAGAGAAACGTCGATTTGTTGTTCCACTTATTTGTGCATTCATTGGTTGATTATTGTATATGCCCTGACCCAGGATTGAACCTGCAACCTTGGCATATCTGGATGATGCTCCAACCAACTGAGCTACCTAGCCAAGGCTTTAAAAAAATTTTTTTTAAGATTTTATTTATTTATTTTTAGAAGGAGTGGAAGGGAGAAGGAAAGAGAAGTAGGGAAACATCAGCGTGTGAGAGAAACATCAGAGGGTTGCCTCTCGGCCCACAAACCAGGCAGCGCCCTCGCTGGAAATAGAAGCAGCGACCCTTTGGTTCACAGGCTGGTGCTTAATCCACTAAGCCACACCAGCCAGGGCTTAACTCCTTTTTAAAAGCCTTCTAATATACTCAGTGCAAGATTTGCACTGTCTGTTTTTTAATCATTTTACCACTCTTATTTATTCAGCATATATTTATTGAGCAACTATTGTGTGCAGTCTCATTTCTAAGTACTGGGCTGCAGTCGTGAACACAGTAGACACAGATTCTGCCGTCCAGAGCTGTCAGTGTGTCTGAGGAAACACATGAAATCATCACTTTACTGCGAAGTCCAGTAACCTAAGTTTTCCCCCTGGTCTTTTTTGTCTCCTTAGGAAGTTAAGTGTTAAATCTATCACAAACCCTCGGTACCTGGACAGCCTGGGGAACCCATCGGTCAACGGCCTGTACGATTTAGCTCTGGGCCCTGCAGATTCCAAAGAGGTCTGCTCCACCTGCGTGCAGGACTTCAGCCACTGCTCTGGCCACCTGGGCCACATCGAGCTCCCGCTGACCGTGTACAATCCTCTCCTCTTCGACGTACGTTCTGC